AAAGATGGAAGATGAAAACTTTCATCATATTATGAATTTTGGTAAAGAAATAAGAGTCGGAACTGCGAGCAAAAAAAAAAAAAACATTCAAAATTTTTCGTTAGTGTGATTTTAACTTAAACTGTTCAATCACGCTCCCCGGCGACCTTCAGACATCGTTGAAGACGTTCTGTTTGCGATCATGGAGAACAGACCAAAGATTTCAACGGAATAGATTGCTAAGAATTTGGAGATCGCCTTTCACCATTTGAATAGACTTGGGTTCAAGAAAAACGATCGGGTTGCAAATCGCACCATTTTCCACCATGTTGCAGAACAGACCTTGCAGAAGCTTAGAGTTGAAACGGGACCCACTCGAGTGTTAACCGGGCCTATCTTTACCTTTTTGGCACTAGTTTAGACCAGGACTTTCAAACTTCATGTCTCTATTTTTAACTAGATTAAACCGGAACTTCTCCATTTTTAACTCAACTGTAAACCGGAAACATCTGTCTATTGATTCCAGTGTAAACTAGTTTGGTTTAGTTAGTTTTGTTTTACGGCGTAGCAAACTCAATGGGTTATTTAATGCCGACAAGATTTTTATTGCTGGTAATATTTTTTTTCAAAAATGTATTGGTGGTAATTATTTTTAATGTATTGCTGGTAATATCTTTTTCAAAAATGTATTGTTGGTAATATTTTTTTCCTCAAAAATGTATTGCTGGTAATATTTTTCGAAAATACATAGTTCATAATATCTTTTTTCCAAAAATGTATTTCTGGTAATAGCTTAATATCTTTTTTTTAATGTATTGCTGGTAATATCTTTTTTTTATCAAAATGTATTGCTTGTAATATTTTTTGCAAAGTATTTCTGGTATTAAAATCTATTATTACACTTTCATAGTGTTTTGACCCTAGTAGAGATGTTAATTATTTACTCATAGTTAAGGCCCTCGCAGGCGCTGCCACCTCGGATTAAGGCGGACCTGGGAACAAATAAGAGGTGGTTCCACGCTCCTCAAAACCTCCTGATCATAGTCCTTACTGTTGGACGTAGTTTATCGTCATACCCAGGACGCGGATGTAGTTTATCGTCATACACAAGACGCGGATGTAGTTTATCGTCATACCCAGGACGCGGATGTAGTTTATCGTCATACACAAGACGCGGATGGTTTATCTTCATACCCAGGACGCGGATGAAGTTTATCTTCATACCCAGGACGTGGATGTAGTTTATCGTCATACACAAGACGCGGATGTAGTTTATCGTCATACCCAGGACGCGGATGTAGTTTATCGTCATACACAAGACGCGGATGTAGTTTATCTTCATACCCAGGACGCGGATGTAGTTTATCTTCATACCCAGGACGCGGATGTAGTTTATCGTCATACCCAGGACGAATGTAAACTCGGCTTATTTTTTTTACATTTTCTGAACCGTGCCTTCATCTGCCTATTGAGGCAAGTGTTGACCGGACCGACGCCAACTCAAAAAATAACAAGATTCATCTTTACCATTTTGACTCTGGTGTAAACCCGATACATATCTATGTTTTCGACTCAAGTATAAACCGAGTCCATGTCTATTTAACTCAAGTGCAAACCGTGTCTATTTGACTCAAGTGTCTACCTTTTATACTCAAGTTTAAAACGGGCCTTGGTCAACCGCTTTAATTCAAGTTTAAATCTACATTTTATACTCAAGTTTTAACCGAACCTGTCGACCTTTTTGAATCAAGTATGTCTACCTTTTATAACTAAAGAACCTGTTTAACTTTTTTTATTCAAGTGTAAATTGGGCCTATGTCTACCGAATGGTTTTTTTTTATACTGTCGATTTAAAGCGGACCTGTCGACCTTTTTGAATCTAGCGTGAACTGGGCCAATGTTTTTATTCAAGTGTAAAGCGGACCTGTCGACTTTTTGAATCTAAATTGAGCCTATGTCTACCAAGTGTAAATTGAGCTATGTTTTTTTATTTTATACTAGATTTAAAGCGGACCTGTCGGCCTTTTTGAATCTAGCGTGAACTGGGCCAATGTTTTTATTCATGTGTAAATTGGGCCTATGTCTACCTTTTATACTCGATTTAAAGCGGACATGTCGACCTTTTTGAATCTAGCGTGAACTGGGCCAATGTTTTTATTCAAGTGTAAATTGAGCCTATGTCTACCTTTTATACTAGATTTAAAGCGGACCTGTCGGACCTGTCGACTTTTTTTGAATCTAGCGTGAACTGGGCCATTTTTTTTTTTTTTATTCATTGTAAAAAGCGGACCTGTATGTCTACCTTTTATACTCGATTTAAAGCGGACCTGTCGACCTTTTTGAATCTAGCGTGAACTGGGCCAATGTTTTTATTCAAGTGTAAATTGGGCCTATGTCTACCTTTTATACTCGATTTAAAGCGGACCTGTCGACCTTTTTGAATCTAGCGTGAACTGGGCCAATGTATTTATTCAAGTGTAAATTGAGCCTATGTTCTAGCGTGAACCTTTTATACTAGATTTAAAGCGGACATGTAGACCTTTTTGAATCTAGCGTGAACTGGGCCAATGTTTAACTTTTTTATTCATGTAAATTAATTTATGTAAATCGGGCCTATGTCTACCTTTATATCGATTTTTTTCGACCAATGTTTTTATTCAAGTGTAAATCGGGGCTCGATCATGTCTACTTTTTACTAGATTTAAAGCGGACCTGTCGACCTTTTTTGAATCTAGCGTGAACTGGGCCAATGTAAATTGAGCCTATGTCTACCTTTTTTATACTCGATTTAAAGTTTTTATTCATGTTTTTATTCAAGTGTAAATTGGGCCTATGTCTTTACCTTTTATACTAGATTTAAAGCGGACCTGTCGACCTTTTGAATCTAGCGTGAACTGGGCCAATTTTTTTATTCAAAATTGAGCCTATGTAAATTTATACTAGATTTAAAGCGGACCTGTCTGAACTAGCGTGAACTTTTTATACTAGATTTAAAGCGGACCTGTCGACCTTTTTGAATCTAGCGTGAACTGGGCCAATGTTTTTATTCAAGTGTAAATTGAGCCTATGTCTACCTTTTATACTAGATTTAAAGCGGACCTGTCGACCTTTTTGAATCTAGCGTGAACTTGGCCAATGTTTTTATTCAAGTGTAAATCGGGCCTATGTCTACTTTTTATACACGAGTTTAAACCGGACCTGTCGACTTTTTCAATCTGGTGTAAACCGGTCCTATGTCTAACATTTTGACACAAGTATAACCAGAAACTATGTCTACCTTTTTAACTCGAGTGTAAACTTGTCCTATGCTTACCTTTTTGACTTAAGTATAAACTGAGACAATTCATATTTTCCCTCAAGTATAAACCTGATCTATGCCTAACCTTTTTTATTCAAGTTTCAACAGTGCCTATGTCTACCTTTTGATTCAACTGTAAACCGGATCCATATCTATTATTTTACTTTAATGTAAGAGGGACTATATCTCCGTTTTGACGAGGGTCGAAACTGAGGCTTTTATTCCTCGAGTTCAAACAGGACCAACGGCTACCTATTTACTGATGAGTAAACCAAATATATACTAAACATTCTCGAGTATAAACTGGACCTGTACCTATTGATTCAATGTTATTTTCAGCTTGTATGACTTATGTTCGAATTTAAACAACTAATATGTCATTGAAGTAACTACCCTAACCTCACTTAACATATTAGATGTTATGTCATCGAAAAGCATCATGAGTCGCCTTCAGGGTACCTTCTCCTTCAAAGATTATTGCGATTATTTCTGCTATGATTTTACATATGTATGGGGATTTTATCGAGAAGGGCAAATCGGACTTATACCTACAACTCTTGACTCGAGTGTAAACTGGACCTATGCCGATTGCTTCAATGTTATTTCACGCCTATAAGGCTTATGCTCGACCTTAAATAACAAATACGGCACATGTAGATTTTGTCCTTTATAAGGCATGGAATTTGTTACCTTTCAAAAAAAATTTGTTTCGATCACTAAAATGTATTGTGAGCAAAATATTGCCGACAAATAGCATCAAATATATAAAAGGATGAAACGGGTGCTACCATTTTGCCAGATCGATTAAGTTTAGTTTCACGATGTAACGACTGATAGATTTTTACGGCTTATCAACCTTTTACAGGTTATTTAGAATCAGGAAATATAATCAAAATGTAAGAAATATTTTGTGCATAATTGTTAGGGGAACTTATCCATAATAATAATGGACTATTCCTGACATTATAAATACTGAGCCTCTCAAGAGGTATGAGGAGATTGTAAGACGAGGAGAGATAATTGAGAGCATATTGTAAGGACATTGGAATAGTGATTTTCCAAGCATAGCTTAGATGTGGCACAAGGCCGAAATTAGGGGGTACCCAGTGAGGATCGAACTCACTACTCAGTCGTAATTGTACTAGCGAGCCAAGCTTGCTAACCAATACACCGCCTCGAGGTGCCCCAATGATTTTCTAAGAGTAGCTTAGATGTGGCACAAGGCCGAAAGTATGAGGCACCCAGTGAGAATCGAACTCACTACTCAGTCGTAACTGTTTTAGCGAGACAAGCTTGCTAACCATTACACCACGCCGAGGTGCCCAAAGGACATTGGAATAGTGATACTTGTCGAGACAACATAGTTCACTCTAACCAAATCTGATAGTCATTACTAAGACTTCTACTTCTTTGTATTATATTTCTGTTGTAATATATCTTTGTATTCCATACCTGTGTTCGTGTTATTCTTTCATTGGTTCTAACTTTGGACCATCACCGTGGTACAAGGAACTTGGACCATAACAATAATAATAGCTTACTTGTGCAAGTCCAGTCCAACTAATTAACCCATAGGTGGGGGATAAGAGATGGGTTTATACCTTTCCTAGGATTATTTGAGCATAAGTGAATATAACGATGGCGACGGGAACTGAAACAAGACCTCGGCTCTCCGATTTACAATTCAGGGCCGTTAGCCATGACACCAGCCGCACATCCCACTTTACAACACCTTTTATTCCCAAGAGGTCACCCACCTGGATACGAACCAGGTTAGACGTTACTTAACTTCTGTGATCATACGAGAACCAGTGTTTCAACATGGTATGGCCGTAAGACAGTTTTGTCATGGGGAGGGGAGTAGGCGACTTTCAGTCGAAGATACATGAAGCCAATGTTTTTTTTTTTTGTTGTTGTTTTTTATTTCTACTAATATTCATCGAATACAAGGTCAAAGGGAAAACTCGAGGTAGAGGGTTACGCAATTAGATTGTGAAAAGAACATACAAAGAGGGGCATGATATGTATATGATAAGATAGATACTAGCTGACCCTTGGTTTGAAGAGGTGAAAGTGAACGAGGAAGCATCTTCTCTGGAGCCTGTTCCAAAATACAACAGTTCTGAAAAAGGAGCTGTCTCACTAGAACTTTTATTATTTTTTTTTTCAAATTTCCGAGTGAGATCTTTAGTATTAAAATTATTAATAACTAGCAGCATGGCCTGGCGTTGCCCGTGCTTGATTCAAAAATCGTACGACTCATACAGCAATCGCTATCACTTGACTTAAAATAATTTTGCCCTTCCTTGCCTTTAAAGGAGTGCCCTTTTCCGTGCTGATGTTGCCACATGCCTTACTTCTTGCCTATCTCACACTGCGATTTTTTCTAAGCTCTATACTAAACATTAAATCTGTTACAAAATGAACACAAGACGATCAGCTTTAAAAAAAGGACTCGTAACTGGAAAAACCAAATGAAAAAAGAATATTAACAACAAATATTTTTTCACACCCAACCCAGTTCTGCGAAATCAGAATCAACGTTGAGTTTAAGCAAACGAATGAGCCAATTGGAGTAAAGTGCCATGAAGATTTAAATTTTTCCCACTTGTGACGAACGCAGCTATCGATTTATTTTTTTTTTTTTTTTGTATGCTAGCATGCTAGTTAACATTCGTGCCAGTCAGCTGTTGGCTCTCACGCTGGCCAATAGTATCTTCCTGCCTATTCGTAGCAGCCAGCTATTGGCTCTCATTCTGGACAGTACAAAACGGCCGCAAACTACATGAAAACTTCCGTAGAAGCATGAAAAAATCGAGTATTTTTACTATCGATAGGAGTTGGGAAATGCAAAGTCGGTCTTGGCCTTCCCATTAACTTGGAGCATGTGCATGTAAATTTTGGTGCAAATCCGTCGAAAATTGCGGACGTGCATTCGTTGCACACACACACACACACACACACACACACACATCCTGCCTTTTATAGATAGAGATCTGTGAAAAGTTCTTTTATTTTTCTTGTTTTGTTAAAAAACATTCGACTATTTCAGTCCTTATCGAATAGTATGCGCTCTCCGTATTTTATTATGCTTCTCAATCTCTTGGAGAACATAAGGCCGCAGCAACACCTCTCCAACATTAGATTCAGAAAAGGTAGACAGGCCCGGTTTCAACTTGAGTATAAAATGTACACATAGATCTAAATTACATTTGAATAAAAAAAAAAAAAGGTAGACATAAATCCGAGTTAAAATGGTACACATCAACAAATTTTCGCATTCAATAATTAAAATGTCAATAGTCTATTAAAAGGTTTAAAACAGTGGTTTTCAACCAGGGTCCCTCGGAACCCTAGCGTTCCACGAATAAAGCCCAGGGGTTCCGCAAGATGTTACACAAGTACTATGATTGACAGTAATATTAAAGATTTGTGCAAGAAACATCAGGCTCAAGTTTCTCATTGAATTTTTAATGAAAATAAATGTAATCCATTTAAACTGAAGTTTTTTTTTTAATACATGTATAATAACCGTAGAAGCAAGATTAAAATTGCATATGTATATATATACAATATTTTTACAATTTGTCTTTGTATTTTTTTTTTTTTTTTTTTTTGTAAATAAATCTGAAGATCAGTATTTTTATCTTATTTTTAATAATTGAAAGCTTTTTTTTTAATTTATTGCAGGGGTTCCTCAATCCACTGGAATGGTTCCTTGTGGTTCCGCTCCATATGATAAAAAAAACAAATTGTAGTTCAATACATTTATATACTGTTGTAGAGTAGTTTTCACAGTGGAGGCTTGTATTTGAATAAGTCGTCCTAAATTAGGTTCGATGTACAAAACGTTAGGAACTTGAAATAAGAGTTAATGACGCAGCAATCTAGTTGTGATGGTTGGTACTTCAATGTCCGACATCGACTGACTCACTCAACACCACTGAACCCAACTCGCGACCGCTACTACTACTACTACTACTACTACTTATTATCTGTGGGAGAGTCTATTACAATAGAATAGGTATTATGGTATAACATATACAAACAACCCTTTCGGAAAAAAAAATCTTTAGCCATTTAATGACGTAACAATAATCCCAACAACTTTCTGTCACCGAAACAGACTAGACGATATGCGTCTAATGAATGTTATCATTCACTTTAAAATAGACACCACGACTCTACCTTCAATTGACCTCTTTAGTATAAAAGGTAGACATAAGCCCGATTTAAACTTAAATTAAAACGGTTGATCGAGGCCGGTTTTAAACTTGCGTATAAAAGATAGACATAGGTCCGCTTTACTCCAAAATCAATCTGGTTAATTTGGGGGATGGTATTCGTCCGGTTAACACATGACTCACTAGGCAGAAGAAGGATCGGTTTAGAATATAATCTCTCCAACATCTCTTTTTAACAGATATATTTACCAAAATTACACAAATATATCTTGGAATACTAAAGAGTAAATTTATGAAATAAAATCGCCATTGTCTTCAACCACGGCCTGCAGACGACTTCGGAATCGTCTGCAACAGTTTCCTTGTTTAAATTGGTGAATGCTGCTATAATTCTTGCCATCAGTTTATCTTTGGGGTTACAGCGAGTTTTTTTTTTTTTTTTTTTTTGGTCTCTCGCTAAATTGCGCCTCACACCCAATATTCAAGGGACTTGCAGTCTGTGGAGTTAGGTGAATAAATGTAAATGGTGATGTGATCAAAGTCCCACTGCTTGCTTAGCACGATGCAGAGACCTGTTACCAGACATAGGGTCTTCCAGCAGACGCTCTCTTGACCCAAGGCAGCACTACCGCCTCAAGGCACGTGAAGTAGGCCTCTCTGTTGAGTTTGAAACCTTCACTAACAAATTCAGAAGTTCTTTATATATTTAACCTAGAATAGTTATTAATTCAAACATGAATGAAAATAACACCAACATCTCTTTTTAAACGACATACTTACCAAAAATTGCACACAAAAAAAATCTTGAAATACTAAATAGTAAATTTATTCAATAAAATCTCCATTGGCTTCAACCACGGCCTCCAGATGACTTCAGAATCGCCTGCAATTCTTCCGGGTGGTATCCTTGTTTAAGTTCGTAAATGTTACCATAATCCTTGTCTTCAGTTCATCTTTGGTGTTACAAGGAGTTTTGTTGGTCTCTCGCTCAACTGAGCCTCACACATACTCAACAAAGGGCGTTGCAATCTGAAGGGTAGCTGACCATATGTAAGGGGTGATGTGTTAGCAGAAATTGTATGGCATGGTGCAAAGTTCTGTTGCCAGAAATAGTGTCTTCCAGCAGACACACTTTTCAAGCCTTTGTGTTGAGTCTGAGGCCATCACCAAAAAATTTGGGACTTCATTTTTATCAGAACGATGGGAGTGAGTTTTCAGCGGTGCCGTACCTTCGTGATCACCATTAGACTCATCCAAGTCTAATGGTCGTTTCCTAATCCTTTGCACAGTCCTCAGATTGGCATCCAAACACTCTGAAATATTCGTATTGGAGCTTTCGGTGCGAATGCCAAGCAGTAGATCCGGCCGTTTACAAATTTCTGATGGAGTAAATTGCGTCATGGCGCTTCTTTTCTCACAGACGGTGCCAATATATATATATATATATATATATATATATATATATTCAGTTGTATGGATATGAGTCTGTGATCATAAGTTTAACGCTTTTGCTTTCATCAGACAAGCTCATATCCTTAAACCTAAATATGTTAACTATCACTGATATTTTGTTTCAAATATAATGTCTATATAAAAATATATATATATATATATATATATATATATATATGAAGAAATATAGTCTTAAAATGTGCTATGTTTATGGGATAAAGTGCTCAATATCAGAGATAGAGCGTGTGTAATGTATAACAGTGAACATTGAAGTCAAAAGTAAGAGGCTATATATATATCAATATATAGTATGTATATATATATATATATATATATAGATAGATAGATAGATAGATAGATAGATAGATAGATATACTTATAAATGTAATATGGCCTTGTGAAAAAGGCAAATTGAAAGTGTTGACTTTTGTGTTCACATTTACACACACACACACATATATATATATATATATATATATATATATATATATATATAAGAGATAGCCATTCGTATTCGAGGATACTCGTCCATTAGGGCGGCTGGCCAATCCTATTGCATATATATATATATATATATATATATATATATATATATATATATAGATAGATAGATAGATAGATAGATAGATATACTTACGGTATATATGACATAAATGTAATTTATAAATGTGGCCTTGTTAAAAGGCAAATTGAAAGTTTTGACTTCTGTGTTCACTTTACACACACACACACACACACACACACACATATATATATATATATATATATATATATATATATATATATATATATACAGTGGGGAAATAAATATTCGTACACTTGAAAAATTGTATTTTTTATAAATGTAAAAAGCCTTGAAATAAACAAATCTCAGCACATTTTATGTATAAAGACACATACTATTAAAAAAAAAAATAATAATAAACTTAATTAATTCTTATTCTAACAGAAATTAATGCATTTTTAAAATTTTAACTGCTGACAAAAGTATTCGTACAAATCAATTATTAGAATAAAATAATCAATTAATTATGAAAAGAGTATATTCTAGAATGTTCCAGTAATGTTAGCAGTAATTATAGTTAACGCTATTAGCCATTATCAGAGAATTCAAGAATTTCTAGTCTTATGAGAAGGTTCTAATAATGACTAAAGGTAAAGAATTGACTATTTCGCAAAAACAACACATTTTGTCTCTATGGAAAGATGGGAACATTTACAGAACGATTTCTAACAACCTGAATATTCCTTTTACTATAATTGCTTCGTTCATTGCAAGGTTTAAAACTCGTAACAGCGTCGAAAACCAAACAGAACAGGTGCTCCGTGGAAGATTTCTCTAAGATCAGCAAGGATATTAGGACGCCAAATCCAACAAAATCCACAAGTTCCCCGAGAAGAGCTGCAGGAACATTTGCGTGCATTAGGGATTAAAGTAACCAAGCGTACAATAAATAATGAACTACACAAAAACAGTCTGAAATCACGCATCCCAAGGAAGACTTCACTCCTCTTGAAACGACACAGAGATGCTAGGCTAAAATTCGTTAGAGAGCATAAGGATAAAGAATATTCGTTTTGGGAAAAAGTACTATGGACAGATGAAACTAAAATAGAGTTGTTTGGTCCTAATTATTGAAATCATGTGTGGAGGAAGGACGATGAAGCCTACTTACCAAAGAACACGTTGCCAACTGTAAAGTTTGGTGGTGGCAGTATCATGATCTGGGGCTGTTTTTCGGCAAATGTTGTTGGCAGAATATCAATAATAGATGGCAAGATGAATGCCGTAAGATACGAGAAAATCCTGCAAGACAATTTAATGCGTTCTGTTGAGAGACTTCGGCTACCTACTGGTTGGGTTTTCCAAATGCTAGATCTATAAGGAAATGGTTAGCTGAAAGTAATGTTGATGTCTTGCAATGGCCAAGTCAGTCCCCAGACTTGAACCGAATCGAGAATTTATGGCGATATTTGAAAATTCAAATTGGGAAAATAGCACCAACAAATATGAAGAATTTGAAGACAATATGCTAAGAAGAATGGGACAAAATACCACTCAATGTATGCAAATCATTGGTTGTGACGTACAAGAATAGACTGGTAGCTGTTGAACTCAATAAAGGATATTCTGCAAAGTATTAAATTAAGTTAATATGCTTTTTTTGTTCTGTACGAATACTTTTTTCATCAGTTAAAATGAAAAAAATGCATTAATTTCTGTTAGAATAAGAATTAATTAAGTCTATTAGTATTTTTTAATAAAATGTATCTTTACACATAAAATGCATCAAAATTTGTTTTAGTTAAGGCTTTTACATTTATAAAAATACAATTTTTCATGTGTACGAATATTTATTTCCCCACTGTATACTCTCACGAAACTTCGAAGTCGGCATGACTGAACCAACACCACTCAGTTAAATGGTAAGTTTCCCCACATTAATTTTTTATATATATATATATATATATATATATATATATATATATATATATATATATATATCCACATTAATTCCCTAAAGATATATCCTCACCTTTAGATATCAAGCACTTAATTACAATAAATCTGCCTAAAATGTTTTCCCGCCAATAAACTACGGAAAAAGAAACAGCAATTTCCAACGGAGGGAATCCTTAAAAGTCAGGAATCTCCCAGCCTCTATCCTAAAAAAAGCCTGAAAAGAGGCCGTTTGAACAACACAAGGACTGACCAAAATTAACGATTAAATTCACTACTACTAACAAGCATGGATTTTTTTTCTCCTGATGGTGGCCATGCTTGCCGAAACCTAGTCGAAAACCTAATTGAAAAATAAAGCATAGGTACCTCCATGAGATCGCTAAAAAAAGAGATAGCATGATGAAAAAGACGCCAAACTTGACGAAAACAAAATTTTATCGTCTAAATGTTTATTAAGAGGAAAGATCAAATTTTATTTTATTTTATTTTAATCATTTTTTAAAATTTTTCCTTCTTTTTAGAACATTCTGAATTTTGATTTAAAAAATCTTGTTTCTCTTTGTATCACCGTAACTAGTAAAATAACATATACAATTTTTAGCCGATTTTTTTTTTTTGTATGACACACATTAATTTGGAAAATCTTGCAAAAATAAAAATAATTGTCGAATCTTAATGAAACTTTCAGATACTATTTACAGATGATTGAAATTATTATAAATATGCTTCTTTATTAAAATCATGACAGAAATATTTTTTTCATATTTATTACTCGCCCCCATAACTAATTTTATGAAAACTCTAGAAATTCGATCGAGTCCACTTTAGTAATTACAATAGTTAAAGGAACAAGAATTTGAGGAATCAATATGGACAATATTTTCTGAAAGCAAAACTTTTTTCAATGAAAAATGAATTTTTAATACAATTATTTGTTATTTCTTTAATTATAATAGATTTTTTACATTTAAGTTGTTAAAATATTATAAAATTAGTTAAAAGTCGCATCCACTTTCGTAAATGTCCTTATGAGATTTATTTTTAGCGCGCTGTAATTTGTATCGTTTTGATTTATCAGAAGACCCGCAGTAATTAAGAAATGTCATTTTGTGTTTGTAATCAAGCTGTAATTATACAGTACGGAAGACCAACCAGAATACAATTAAGTTGGGTTATTTGAGTTAAGCATTGTTCTCCGCAGTTAAGGCCTTTACTTTTGCGAAACGCGTGTGGAGAAGTTAATTTGATTTTTCAATTTCAACTGAGAAGGGTACCTACAGGTATCAGTATCATCTTATGAAATTTACATGATCTTATTTTTATATTAATCTCAGTTATGACATTTTTCCATAAATGAAATATCAAAATTAATAATAAAATGAATGCAAATACAAATGACACAGTAAAATGTAATAAATGTACAAAATAATTATAGTATTTTATGTACACTTCTGATAAAATTTCATAAGAAAGGTACCTATAAATTAATTAGATATTTTTCTTATGAAATTTAATCTCATTCTTAACAGTCTTATTTTAATTTCTTTATAATATATTTTCCATAAAGTATCGTAAACGTAAAGGTGAAAGCTAAGTACAAAAAAAGTTAGAGCGCTGAAAGTTTTCCTTAAAAATAACGAGGTAAATAATTGGTTCACTTAAATCTAAATAATTTCACGTTTCGCCTCCCGTAAAACAAATTATCCTCACGTAATCCGTCAATATGTCATTCATCACCTGTCAAGTGACACGAAAGGTTATGACCTGCTTTGTTTATTTTCAAATGACATCTTTTCGGCGTAGAAGGTAAGTTAAGCTTGGTTCAAAATGTTTTAAATAAGAATTATAATTTCTGATTTTCTTAAAATAAGTTTTGAGAAAATGAAAATTGATTTTTAAAAGAATTTGAAACTGAGATTTTCATTTTTTTTATGAAATAGAAAAAAAGGGTTGCTATGGTCGATTATCTGTCAAATTTTCTGACTAAAAAAAATGAATTTTTAAAGAAAATTTCGTACGTTCTAGGAACGATTAAAAAATGTAAAAGAAATACCCCCAAAATACCTTGATCTTTCCTCTTAATAATAGCATAAACATATAGACGAAAAAAATTGTTTTCGTCAAGTTTTGCGTCTTTTTGATCATGCTATGCTTTTATTTAGCGATATCATGGAGATACGTAATAAAGCAAAAAAGATATTAATATACAACACAGTGTATCTGAAAATTTTAATATTTTTTTTATTGTTCAATGTCTGGACCTGCATATCTCGTCATTGGTAATGTCAGGGCTGACGATTGCATATAGCATGAAACAGACTGTCGCCTCTAAGTGTTGACTTCTATGTTCACTTTTATATTTACACACGCTCTATCTCTGATATTGAGCACTTTATCCCATAAATATAGCACACCTTAAGACTATATTTCTTTATATATATATATATATATATATATATATATATATATATATATATATATATATATATATATATATGGTGCATTTATTTCCTGTCTGGACCAGTATAACTCGTCAATGGTAATCTCCAGTTTAAACCTAAGTATTCCTTGTATTACTGTTATATAGCGGTCGATGTGTTCTAATATTCTTACTTGGTAATATTAGTTGGGATTTATAACCTAATTGAAATAATAAAACAAAATATGAATATACAACCCAGCGTATCTGAAAATTTTAATTTTTTCATATTTTATTGTTCAAAACGTATATATATATATATATATATATATATATATATATATATATATATATATATGCGTGTTTATGTGTGCATGTGTGTGGGGGGATGATATTGTTTTCCAGACAGTTACGCGCACTCAATGCTCGAAATCATCAAATTTTAATTAATAATTATTTCAGACCGTAAAAATAATGATGTTGACACATTTAATGCGGCAAAGGAATACGAACTTCATGTGGGAGAAAATGCACTACGATTGCTACGAAGAAGAATCTTATATACGTCGCATAACTTTGGTTGCAGTTTCCGCAATAAGGTGATACATATGAAGAAACCGAGCTAGATAGATAGATAGATAGATAGATAGATAGATAGATAGATAGATAGATAGATAGATAGATAGATATGGACAGATGAGATAGATAGATAGATAGATAGATAGATAGATAGATAGATAGATAGATAGATAGATAGATAGATATGAACAGGTTGAGTGAGATAGATAGATAGATAGATAGATAGATAGATAGATAGATAGATAGATAGATAGATAGATAGATAGATACTGAACAGAACAGGAAAGAAAGAAAGAAAGAAAGAAAGAAAGAAAGAAAGAAAGAAAGAAAGAAAGAAAGAACGAAAAAAAGATAAAAACAGAAAGAATAGGAAAGGAAGGAAGGAAGGAAGGAAGAAAAGAAGGAAGGAAGGAAGGAAGGAAGGAAGGAAGGAAGGAAGGAAGGAAGGAAGATATTGTGAGTGATGGATAAAAACAAGAACCAGATAGATAGATAGATAGATAGATAGATAGATAGATAGATAGATAGATAGATAGATAGATAGATAGATAGATAGATAATGGACAGAACAGGTAAGAAAGAAAGGAAGAAAGAATGAAAGAAAGAAAGAAAGAAAGAAAGAATGATAGATTTAGATATGAAAAGAGTAAAATAGATAGATAGATAGATAGATAGATAGATAGATAGATAGATAGATAGATATGAATAGACTGATATATATGAACAGACTGATATAGATATATATTATCAGTCAGACAGACAGAGATAGATAGATAGATAGATAGATAGATAGATAGATAAAATGCAATTTATATGTGCACATGGAAGTTTGTTCCTATAATCGTAAGTATTTGCCCAAATATGCGTTTATCTTACGCATGCGTGTGTGTCTCTTCTCTTATATCTACCTTGTATTTTATTGTGATGTGAGCTCATCACATACTGGCCGGGAGGCACAAGTGGAAAGACAAGTTGACAGATACATTATTTCAAGATGGCTGCCTCTTTTCACCGGAAGTTGTTTTCTGCTTGGCGCATGGCTGGACAACGCCCCTGTCCTTCCCTTTCGTCGGTGCTTACCTAATCCTAACCCTAACCGAAGATCCTGAACCCTAGCCCTTCTCACCGACCATCACCAACCGTCGTCCGCTTAGTGTAATGGCTAGCGGCTAAAAATGGCGGGAAATAGAAGTTAGAAAATAATGTATTAAAAAAGGGAGCAAATGTGGTAGAGGGTGACAAAAAAGAAAACATAAGTAAAGGGAGAGATTGAGAGATAGAGGGATGATGAAGGAAAGAGTGAAGAAAAGGAAAGAGTGATTTGAAGAGAAATTGTAGAGAGATTAATATTAGATGGAAAGGGTTTAAGGTTTTGAAAAGAGAGAAAGGTGGAAATGATTACGTTGGGGGAGGGAATAGAGTAAAGAAAGAAAGAAAGAAAGAAAGAAAGAAAGAAAGAAAGAAAGAAAGAAAGAAAGAAAGAAAATATAGACTGACTTTAACTGTTGAAGAAAAATGTGTTAAAAGAAAAAAAGAAGAAAAAATGGTTGGTCAAAAGAAAATAAATAAAAGTTAAGCAAAACGAAGAAGAAGAAGAAGAAGAAGAAGAAAAGAAAAATAAGAAGAAGAAGAAGAAGAAGTTAAGAACGAAGAAGAAGAACGAAGAAGAAGAAGAAGAAGAAGAACGAAGAAGAAGAAGAAGAAGAAGAAGAACGAAGAAGAAGAAGAAGAAGAAGAAGAAGAAGAAGAAGAAGAAGAAGAAGAAGAAGAAGAATCAAAATAAAATAATGAATAAAACGAAAGAATTGAATGAGGGAAATAAGACAATAATAACAATAATAATAATAATAATAACAATAATAATAATAATAATAATAGAGTTTCAAATGGGCGTAGAGATGCAACTACAGCACAATACACCGGCTGAAACTGCAAAATACCTAAAAAAGACAGCAAAGACGAATGCAACCGACCAGATACAGAAGCGATGGCAAGATAAACCGCTTCATGGCCAATACTCTGCCCGTACCAAACAAGCTGACGTAGACAAAACCCGTACCCATCAGTGGCTACGGAGTGCAGGGTTGAAAGCGGAAACTGAAGGTTTTATCCTTGCTGCGCAGGACCAATGCTTGCTAACTAGGAATTATCAAGCACATATACTAAAATATTGTGTCAGCCCAAAATGCAGATTCTGTGATAAATATCCAGAAACGATTGATCATCTTGTATCAGGTTGCACGATGTTGGCACCCACTGAATATAAAACCCGACATGACAGAGTGGGCCAATATCTGCACTGGAAAATCTGCAACTTCTACGGGAAAGAAACTGAAAGAAACTGGTATGAACAACACCCAGACTTGGTTACGGAGATAGGACCTGTTACAATTCTATGGGACTACACAATACACACTGACAGAACAATCAAGGCCAACCGCCCAGATATTGTTATTAAAGACCACAAACAAAAACGGTGCCTTCCTTATTGATATGGCAGTCCCTGCTGACTGCAATGTATCTTTGAAGATATTCAAAAAGTTGTCAAAGTACAAGGACCTTGAAATAGAAATCTCGAAAATGTGGCATATGGGAACATCAACAATCCCTGTTGTAGTTGGAGCCCTAGGACTGGTTAGAAAAGATTGCAGTAGACTAATTGAAGGGATTCCTGGAAGTCCATGCCTCAAGGAGATACAAAAAATCGTTCTGACAAGTACAGCCCACACCTTACAAAGGGCTTTATCTATGTAATTAATTTTTTTTTTTTTTTTTTGTCAGTGGAAAGTGTCATGACGCCATTTCTAACCTTAGGTCCCTGAGCGGGACCCGGAAAGAAATATGTAAACGCCAGAAATCAAAGAAAATAATAATAATAATAATAATAATTCTGTGGAAGGTGCTGTTGATTTGAGAAGACTTCCTCTCTCTCAGTCTCCAGCGATAACCACCAGATATTTGATATGAACATGTAAAATCATAAACCATAATATAAGATACTGAGGAAGGTTCTTTAGAGTTGAGGAAACATACTGTCACTAAATTTCCAGCGATAAACGCATTTGATATGAACATGCAAATACATGAAATATAATAATAAATATAATAAAAGGATAATGAGGAAAGTATTGTACATTTTGAGATTATCTGCCCTCGACCAGTGCCAGGTAAAATCAGCAGAGCTCATTTTCGAATCAACGTCCAAATCAATTAGACCTTGACAGTCCAGTGGGTCTAAAACTGACCCTATGTTGAAAGAAAAGAAACTGAAGCGGTTGTTTTAATTAATTTACACAAGGGTGTATATACGAGTTCCCCCCTTGGGGTAACATGGTAGACTTTAGCCTTGGGCATCAACCAAAGTTAGGGCAACCCTGAAATAGCAACATGTGGAGAAGAAAACATGAAACTATAGAATTAACTTTCCGACGGATACAAGGCAAGTTATGTGATTAGCGAGTCAAGATAGACTACATCCTGAATAGACATATCATTTAATTAAATCATAATATATTGCTTATAGATTAATAAATCTAATTTTATTCTGATTTTTTTAATTATTTTAATCAAGCATGACGAAAAAATCACGAAGACGGAAGGGTTTAGAAAATGAAGATTAACGTTACATTTAAATATTTAAATATCGTAGTTTGCAAGAAAGTTCCACGGGCGAAAAGTGCGACATACAAGAATATTAGAAGAGAGCTTATGGTGACATCTAGCAATTTCAAAAGTAATGAGACCTAACTACCAAACTAGTACTGCGCTTATATTCGTGAAGACGATTCAGCAAAGAGTAAAACTCATCAGAACAATCGCCATGGAAATATTTACAAAAGTGGCACAGGGAAGCTCCATAACGCCGGTGGTAAAGTGATTGAAGTCGAGATACCAGGTCAGGGGCGATAAAATTGCAGAGCCGTCATGGCGGAACAAGCAGACCAGGTGTGGCAGCAATCAAGCATGACGATAAGGCCACTAATTTGCACAAGGGTGTATATGCGTGTGTGTGTGTGTATGAATAGACAATTTCCAATATATGCAGTGTGTATATCTTAATTGTAACTTAATGCACTTAACATAAATACATTGCATATAGTGATTTTCAAAGCGTAGCTTAGATGTTGGACAAGGCCGAAGTATGGGGCACCCAGTGAGGATCGAACTCCCTACTCTGTCGTAATTGTTGTAGCGAGACAAGCTTCCTTATCATTACACCACCTCTAGATGCCAAATACATTACATATAGTGATTTTCTAAGAGTAGCTTAGATGTGGCACAAGGCCGAATGTAGGGGGCACCCGATGAGGATCGAACTCCCTACTCAGTCGTAATTGTTCTAGCGAGACAAGCTTGCTAAGCATTACACCACCTCTAGATGCCAAATACATTACATATATTCAAATACACAAACTGATGATTTACGCATTTTAAATACATACATATAGGTACACATCAATCCTATATAAAAGAAATCACAAAATATACGTACATATGAAATATTATTCTGTAAAAAAAAGCAATCTCTTTTCATGCATAATATATAAAATACACTCCGAAAAGATTCATATTACTGCACACCACTGCAAATGATCTAATCTGAGTAAAAAATAGAAATCGATTTGACCTTGACAGTCCAGTCGGTCTAAAACTGACCGTATGGTGAAAGAAAGGAAACTGAAGCGGTTGTTTCAATTAATTTGCACAAGGATGTAACCTTGAAAAGAAATAAATTACATATTAGTCACAAGATAGAGGAAAAAGTTTGAGAAATCAAACACACAGACACACATAAAAGCAAACAAATAAAACTCAACACTTAAATAAAAAAAAATAAATTAAATTAATAAATAAAAAGTAACCTTTACGGTGATCGCCGCCAATGATATAACCGAAATTAACAAACCTCTTTGGTATTAACGGCTCCCATATCGTATTTATTTCCATGCTAGGCCTACTAAGGAGATCCCCACAGCCTAGTACATGTAGTTATTCTTTCAAACGTCACTCTCTAGTTTTTGACATCAAGAGTATAAAATAACACAATAATCAACGGATATCTCATATCAGTCAAAATTAAAGGATACTTGATGATGGCTAGAGGGTACTTGGCCGAAACGCGTCTATAATACGAATATCAATAATAGTAGTAATAATAATAATAATAATAATAATAATAATAATAATAATGATAATAATAATAATTAATTGTAGAATATATGATATAAGTATATAAAATATATAAAATACAATTGTGTCAATAATCTATAATAGAGATGAAAACAACAGATAGACACCTGACGATGGCCTGGGCGTAATTGGTCGAAACGTTGTGTTTATAATGATATCATTAACAATAACGATAAGAAAAGTTCAAGATAAACAAAGTATATAATTATTTCTTCAACTTAAAAAAGAAATATCAATTTATGAAGAAGCGAAAGGAACCCGCCATGATAACGAAAATGGAAAACCATCTAACATTGAACATAAATGCTCCAAAACATTCCTTTATCCGAAGGGCATCATTCTACGTATATAGTACTTAGAGATGTGTTACTATCATCTCGAGGTCTTGGGTTCAATCCTTGAACCTGTCAGTGAAACACTGTTTCATCAGAAACGAACAATAACTGACATTACAGACAAAAATTACACAATAATCAACAGTCCCGGCTTGAAACAACATCACGTTGAAACACCGTTTCCCGTACGTTCACCGGAGTTAAGCACCTCCAAGCATGGGCAGTACCTAGATGAGTGACCGGTGTAAGCTTGTATGTGCATGTGGTGTAATAGATAATGGCTTGCAATTGTTAATCGGAGACCCAAGATCAAATTCCCACCCGTCCTGGGTATGACGATAAACTACATCTGCGTCCTGGGTAAGACGATAAATTACGTCCGACAGCAAGGCCTCTGATCAGGAGGTTTTCAGGAGCGTGGACCACCTCCTAATTGCTGCTGTTCCCAGGTCCACCCTAACCCGTGGTGGTCGCACTTGTTAGGGTCCCAGCTATGGGCAATAGTTAGCCCTTAAACTGGCGTTAAAACGCTATGAAAGTGTAAAAATAGGTTTTACTACGAGCAATAAATTTTGAAGAAAAAATTATTTCCAGCAATACATTATTACCAGCAATATATGTTTGAAGAAAAAATATTACCAGCAATACTTATTTGAAGGAAAAAAATTACCAGCAATACATTTTTGTAAATAATTATTACCAGCTATACGTCATTACTAGCAATACATTTTTGAAGGGAAAAGTATTACCAGCAATACATTTTTGAAGGGAAAAATATTACCAGCTATACGTCATTACTAGCAATACATTTTTGAAGGGAAAAGTATTACCAGCTATACGTCATTACCAGCAATACATTTTTGAAGGGAAAAATATTACCAGCTATACGTCATTACTAGCAATACATTTTTGAAGGGAAAAGTATTACCAGCAATACGTCATTACCAGCAATACATTTTTGAAGGGAAAAATATTACCAGATATACGTCATTACTAGCAATACATTTTTGAAGGGAAAAGTATTACCAGCAATACGTCATTACTAGCAATACATTTTTGAAGGGAAAAATATTACCAGCTATACGTCATTACCAGCAATACATTTTTGAAGGGAAAAGTATTACCAGCAATACGTCATTACTAGCAATACATTTTTGAAGGGAAAAATATTACCAACAATAGGTCATTACTAATCACAACACAAAAACTTGCACACCACAAAGATGCATTCTTGAAGGAAAAATACTACCAGAAAGACCTCTTTGAGGAAGAAAATATTACCAGCAATATCTTTTTGTAAATAATTATTACCAGGAATACGTCATTACTAGGAATACATTTTTTGAAAAAAATATTACCAGCAATAAAAATCTTGTCAGCATTCAATAAGGTTGGTATGCTGTAAACCAAACCGAATCAAACCAAACCTAACCAAACCAAACCAAACCCGACCCAACCCAATTACCTTTAGGTTCGTTATATTCACTAACGATCAAATAACCTTAGCTTTCAATAGCGATGTCAATACCTCATAAAAAAACACCTTCGTTCTTTTCTGCAATATTTTAAACATAAAGTAAGTCATATTTGTTTCAAATCAGATTAATTAAACATTACATGATCCAATCTTGCTCAAATAAATTTTATTTTCGAAAGGGTTTTTAAAAAAGAGAATAAATTGCAAAGACAAACTTAAATTAACTGCTATAAAATCTGCATTCCGCAGTTAAAAGAAGTTTCGAATTTACCCCTGAAGATGACCTTGGAAAAGATCGAAACTACTTGGGCTGACAAAAACTATGGCACCTTCCTTGATGAATTTCATCTTAATTACAAGAAACTGATTAGACAACTCGAAAGGATCAGTATAAAAATAAGGAAACAATATATTTATATCATTCAATAAAACAATTGAATGAACCAGACCAGAAACACGTGTCGTGAAATTATGTAAAACAAAGTATAATATTTTTTTCTCAATAAATCCACATTACAACCAAAAAAAAAAACGTTTGCGGCACCCTTTTTCTTTTATATATATATATATATATATATATATATATATATATATATATATATATATATATATATATATATCGGATGTAATGAGAACGAGAATAATATAAATTCTAACGTTCACAGCATTAATTCAAAAAGAGGGCTCGATACCAAGAGTAGAGCAATAATTATTTATTATAATTTTGCATACGATAAGAACTCAGACACTCAAAGATGAATTTTGTTTTGATATGACTGCATCTCGACCTGAGATGCAGTCGCATCGAAACAAGAATGCATCTTTATAGTGAGCAAGTTGTTTTTTCAGTATAAAATTATAATATATATATATATATATATATATATATATATATATATATATATATATATATATTATATATTATATACGTATATATATATATATATATATATATATATATATATATATATATATATATATTAATAAGTAAGAATATCCAATAAATGTGTAGAAAATGGACTTTAGAGAGATAAATGTGCTATATGCATGATATCAGAGCAACTATTATTATTTATAGGAAAGTCATCTCCAACTCTAGGCCTCTACTCAATGTCCGATATGCGCATTTCCTACGAACTCCTTATGTAGCCGACCATTCGGAGACTCGCCAGACCGAAACCAAAATATAAAATTCCGGGTTGCCAAAGTGTTGACCGTGGTGGGGAATCTAGTCCCAGTTAGAGGACCATGGCAGACCTAAAGACTGAAGGAAAAATTTCAGCTAAAACGGCTAAAAGTTTTGTTTTATTTTAATTTCTCACGTCCACGGAAGGACTCAAAAGCCTGGATAATGAATTTATCCAGACTGTAGAGTTATTAAGCTATTTACTTTAATGAATAAGTAAAAGTTATTAAGCCATTATGTTATTTACTTAAATGAATAAGTAAAAGCCATTAAGCTATTTACTTTAATGAATAAGGAAAAGTTATTAGGCCATTATGTTATTTACTTAAATGAGTAAGTAAAAGCTATTAAGCTATTTACTTTAATGAATAAGGAAAAGTTATTAAGCTATTTACTTTAATGAATAAGGAAAAGTTATTAGGCCATTATGTTATTTACTTAAATGAGTAAAAGTAAAAGCTTTAATGAAAGGAAAAAGCTATTTACTTTAATGAATAAGGAAAGTTATTAGGCCATTATGTCATTTACTTAAATGAGTAAGTAAAGCTTTAATGAATAAGGAAAAGTTATTAGCCATTATGTCATTTACTTAAATGAGTAAGTAAAAGCTATTAAGCTATTTACTTTAATGAATAAGGAAAAGTTATTAAGCCATTATGTTATTTACTTAAATGAATAAGTAAAAGTTATTAAGCTATTTACTTTAAAGAATAAGGAAAGGTTATTAGGCCATTATGTTATTTACTTAAATGAGTAAGTAAAAGCAATAAGCTATTTACTTTAATGAATAAGGAAAAGTTATTAGGCCATTATTTATTTTAATGAAAAAGCTATTAAAACTTTAATGAATAAGGAAAAGCCCATTATGTTATTTACTTTAAATGAATAAGTAAAAGCAATAAGCTATTTACTTTAATGAATAAGGAAAAGTTATTAGGCCATTATGTCATTTATTTAAATGAGTAAGTAAAAGCTATTTTACTTTAATGAAGCTATTTACTTTAATGAATAAGGAAAGTTATTAAGCCATTATGTTATTTACTTAAATGAATAAGTAAAAAGTTATTAAGCTATTTACTTTAAAGAATAAGGAAAGGTTATTAGGCCATTATGTTATTTACTTAAATGAGTAAGCTATTTACTTTAATGAAAGAAAATATTAGCATTTTATAAGCTAAAATTTACTTTACTTTAATGAATAAGGAAAAGTTATTATTATGTTAGCTTAAATTATGTCATTTACTTTTAAATGAGGCCATTATGTTATTTAAAAGCTATTAAGCTATTTACTTTAATGAATAAGGAAAAGTTATTAAGCCATTATGTTATTTACTTAAATGAATAAGTAAAATTTACTTTTAATGAATAAGAAAAGTTATTAAGCCATTATGTTATTTACTTTTAAAGAATAAGGAAAGGTTATTAGGCCATTATGTTATTTACTTAAATGAGTAAGTAAAAGCAATAAGCTATTTACTTTAATGAATAAGGAAAAGTTATTAGGCCATTATGTCATTTACTTAAATGAGTAAGTAAAAGCTATTAAGCTATTTACTTTAATGAATAAGGAAAAGTTATTAAGCCATTATGTTATTTACTTAAATGAATAAGTAAAAGTTATTAAGCTATTTACTTTAAAGAATAAGGAAAGGTTATTAGGCCATTATGTTATTTACTTTAATTATAAAGTAAAAGTAATAAATTTACTTTAATGAATAAGAAAAGTTAAAAAATATTTTATCTTTCTTCCCTCGCTTCACTTTTTCTGTTTATTTCCTTCTCTTCAAATTTAATTTTTTTTATTTTTTTTTCTACTGTTATCAATTTCTTTTCTCTTTCTACCTATATATATATTTATCTATATATATATATATATATATATATATATATATATATATATATATATATATATATATATATATCGCTTTTTTTTCTTTTGATTACTCTATTTCTATTTCTTTTTCTATGTCTTGTGTGCCCAATACAATCTTTCTTGCTATCTCTCTGTATGTCTCTATTTTTCTATATTTCCCCTCACAACTTTATTATTTGTGTACAATGTTGCATTAATAAAAATGTCACACTTTCTTTCCCTGTGACCATTTCTCGTTCTCTCCCCATTCTTCCTCGCTTTCTGCACTCTCTCTCTCTCTCTCTTACATTTTTCTTCTCATTTTGCTACTTATTCTCTTTCTGTCACTTTCTGTCTTTCTATATCTCTCTCTCCCCACTTTCTTTCTCGCATTCTCTTCCACTCTGTTTTCTTCTATTGTCTCTCTCTCTCTCTCTCTCGTTTTCTCGTTATCTTTCTCCTTCTCCCGCTCTCTTTCTCGCATTCTCTTCCACTCTCTCTCTCTCTCTCTCTCTCTCTCTTGCTTTTTCTTCTTTTTCTGCTACTCAATCTCTTTCTATCGCTTTCTGTCTTTCTATTGCTCTCTTTCCCCCTTTTTCTTTCTCGCATTCTCTTCCCCTCTATTTCTCTTCTACTCTCTCTCTCCCTCTCTCTCTTGTTTTCTGCTTATCTTTCTTCTTATCTCATTCTCTTTCGCTTTTCTTTCTCTCTATTCCTCTTCTATTCGCTCTCTCTCTCTCTCTCGCCTTCTTCTCTTTCTTCTTTTTTTCATTTATCTTGCTCTTTCGCTTTCTCTCTTTCTATTTCTCTTTCTCTCACTTTCTCTGTCGCTTTCTCTTCCTCTCTATCTCTCTTCAGCTGTCTCTCTTTCTGGCTTTCACCTTCTCTTCCTGCCCATCCATCTCTCTATGTATTCGCTCTATTTTTGTCTTTCTCTCTTTCTCTTCCAGTCTATTTCTCTATTTTTTCTTTCTCTCTCTCTCTCTTTTACCGACTCTTTCTTCTTATCCATTTCTCTCTTTCTCTCTCTTCCACGTATCTATTTATTTTTTTGATTATTTATTTCCATTTGTCTTCAAATTTCTTTTTCTCTCTTATGCACACGTCACTGTTTCTGATTCATACACACATACACGTAATTTCTCTCTCTCTCTCATTCATTTTCTATTACTGTCTCTAATTTTTATATTCCTATTCCATTCTATTCCTTTCTATGCATCTCTGTCTATCTATCTATCTATCTATCTATCTACCTATCTATCTATATATTCCTCATTCTCTCGCGATTGCTTTCTCAATTGAAATAATTTTTCAATTCCTTTCTTTCACTTCAACTTTCAGTTTCACTTTCACTTTCACTTTCGTTTTGTTGCAATAAACCAATTATAATTCAGAGGTTGTCCTCGTCGTAACAATTCAAGCAAAGCAAATCAGCTATTAATAATAATTCATGTAAATCGATTACTAACAATGAAGTCATAATTATTTTTTTAGATTTATTTCAATTCCGATTTTCCTTGATTAAATCTTTTTAACAAATCTTTTTTTTAATATTCTTTTTTCTTTTTTAATTTTTCTTATTTCTTTCTATGTCCTGCCGTCTCCTCATGGCCTTCTCCCGATATCTCATTAAAAAATGAACTTTTTTTTTAAAATATTTATTTGTTCTCAGGGTAAATGTCTTTGTTTTTCTCGCACGTAATAATTTCTTTAATCTGTACATGTACTTCGTGATATTTGCTCTGGAAACAGAAATATCGAAACTTCTATTCGTCCTAATGACTATCTAGAGAGATTCACACAGTAAATATTAAAATCTTATACATTGATTCAGTGCAATGTGTCTTACTATATAAAGGCATTTTCAGGATTTATGATACGGATATATATATATACACTTTTATTTACTCTTATGATTAATTATATAGAATAGAACAACCAATTCTCATGACTTACAAATTAATAAAAACCCTGCATTCTGATTCATGATTATTTCTGTTCAATAGCTGTTGGCATAATTTTAAATATAGCGGTCTCTGTCTATCCAATAACGTTTAGGATAACACAATAAACAGGGAATAGATTGCATTGTTATTCATAATCCCATTGACCAGTAGATATAACTGGTCGAGCTACTACCCAATACACATGGCCTAAAGATTGCGTCCGACCATGAAACAGACTGTTGCTATTCAGAGTTGACCGCAATATACACTCTTTGATGGATTTAATGACATTTGGCTTGATAAAGTCTATCAAAGTTTCCCTTTTGTTTTTATTCATATTGTCTTTTTACTGATACACTTATAGTTATATCTGTATTTTTACATAGTTTCTGATATATATATATATATATATATATATATATATATATATATATATATATATATATATATATAGGGCAAATATTATTTAGGAATTAAAATGCCCATTAAGGAATTGTATTCCTGATCAATCAAAATTCGTAAATAATTATATAGGCCACACTACAACATGTTTGACATTCAGACTCACTCTACACCTTTCTGACCATAGCTCAATTAGATCTCATTTAAATATTCATGGAGACCTACCGGACACTATTCGTAACATACTTGTTGACAACACTAATATAATAGCATCATCTACGTGCAAAAAAGGCTAAAAATAATGGAAGCCTTATTAATTAAAACAAAAAAAAAACATTAATATTAACTTTGAACAGGGACATAATATCTTGACCGTGTTTTGAAAATGAAAAGATAATATGAATACATACATGCAACAAACTATTTCTTATTTAAAAGATATTTCATCCTAGAAAATAGGTAAATCTATAGCCGAAAGCGCTCAGATTAAAAGAATATTCGAACAGTTTTTATATAATTTATCATCTGAAGAGAAAATAATTATAAGATCGCATGAGAAATTGTATAAAAACAAAATCAAAGCACCTTGTCTGTCGTATTCAATGAAATGTGCATGAAAGAAGAATATATATATATATATACATATATATATATATAATATATATATATATATATATATATATATATATGAACAGATTTGATAATCTATTTTTTTTCTATCTATCTATCTATCTATCTTTATCTAATCTATTGAGAGTCTGCTGTATTTTTAGAGCCATCAGGAAATTAAAATTTTATTAATTATTATTTTATTAATGATTATAAGAAGTTTAGTATTCTGGAGGGATAAGAAAGACGCTACTTTTAATTAATTAATTAATCTGTTTTTATATATATATATATATATATATATATATATATATATATATATATATTAAAATAAAAAAAAAAATATCTGAAATGGTTTTATTTTGTTTAAACATACATCTATATATAAACGGGATTTAATGTTATATTTAAATTAAATGGGGATTAAGAGGATAGAAACGGGGGATTGTAGAGCTTAATATCAATGTAAAATAAACGGAAAAGAGAGCAAGAATATAATAGAAAAGGCTATAAATATATAATATTCCATGGTTATAATTTATTACATTGAATCGTATTTTAATCACGGAAATAAAATTTATTAATTATTATTTTATTAATGATTATCATCAGATTTATTATAAATATATATATATAAATATATATATATATATATATATATATATATATATATATATATATATATATATATATATATATATATTAGAATCCAGGTAGGCTCAATGCAGAGAGACAAGAATATTATTAAAACACTAATATTCCAAATTTATTGGTGATGTGATCCAATCTGAACAAATTCAAAAAGAAATATATATATATATATATAATATATAGATTATATAATATATAATATATAAATATCCAAATGTTGGACAGACCATTACGCAAATATTGGTGTTGTCTGTTATGTTTTAAAAAATATATGTTTGAATATATTGTCTGTTATGTTTATATATATATATATATATATATATATATATATATATATATATATATATAGAGAGAGAGAGAGAGAGAGATAGATAGATAGATAGATTTCAAAATACCAAAGGTTTTTTTGTCTTAATAAAATTGAAAAATGTTAGTCTGATAAACCTTTACTATTTGTTGTTTATTTTTTCATCCTGTGGTAGTCCGATTTATATTTGATCTTGGACTCAAATATATAATATATATATATATATATATATATATATATATATATATATATATACAGAGATATAGATAGATAGCTGGACAGACAGACATACATACATTGCCTGAAGATCGCTTTCACGTAGCAAATAGAGTGACGCTTTTTTTAGATCGAAACACACTCATATCCAGCACATTTACCCATACATACCCACAGTGTAATAATAGAAAAACCGCCAAGAAAGGCGAACTGTGGATGGTGAAGCAATTAAAGCACTTTCTATACATTTTTGTCTTTTAATATATATATATATATATATATATATATATATATATATATATATATAAGCAAATATATGGATATAAATCCGACAGTATGAAGAAAAATATATGCGGAAAAAACAAAAAAAAATCTTATATGCAATTATGCTGTTTTAAAACAGCATAATTTTATATAAAGATTTTTGTTTGTTTTTCCGTATATATTTTTCTTCATATATATATATATATATATGTGTGTGTGTGTGTGTGTGTGTGTGTGTGTGTGTGGTGCACTCTCTCCTCGTATTCGACGTATAAGAGTCAAGCACCTCAGTTCCCTTGGAAGCGGCATCCAGACAACAGCACATATGATTTGATTAAAGTGATGAAGGCTTTGTCTAGAACCAACCATACTTTTTTTTTTTTTTTATACAGAGACTTGGTGCACTGTGTGCAAGTTTTCAATTTAGAGTTGTCCTTCTCCTATAACTAATTGTCATCCAAGGCTGTAGAAGCCAGTCTATTTACCCATAGCTGGACGGAGAAAAGGATTCATATCTCTCCCAAGGGTATTAGCACGTAAGTGAACGTAATAGATTCTACTTGAATTCGAACTCGGTTCTCCAAGATTTCTCAATGCGAGCCGCTAACCACCACACCACATATTTTATTCATAGTAATTGAAACCTTAACACATGCCATGTGTGTTAAATATGTAACGTGGAGGACTTCAAGCTTGTATGAAGATATAAGAACTTATTAATCTCTACGTATTCCTATATCAACGGAAGGGATTTCTTGAACTGTTTATATAAAATAGTTCAATCGACTTTTTTAATATTTTAATATTTGGAAATCATCTTCGAATACGTTTTCACAACATCGCCCACGTGACGACAATGTGATCATATTTAAACAGAACTCTGATCTTATATAAAAATTTCAGTTATCTGTTTGGATTAGTTGTGCTCTTATGTCCATCGTCTTTTCGTGTTGAATTTTTATATGTTCTAATGTTAATTATGTTTAAATGAAAATGTCCTGAAGATGGTCTAAAATAGACCGAAACGTCCGACGTTGACTTTATATTAACATTAATACAGCATAATTGCATATTAAGATTTTGTTTGTTTTCTCTGTATATTTTTTTCTATATATATATATATATATATATATATATATATATATATATATATATACAGATATATATATATATATATATACAGATATATATATATATATATATATATATATATATATATATATATATATATATATATATATATTTTTGTCTTTTTCGGTACACACCATTTCATCGTGAATATTTTAATCACATATATTGCATATTATACATAGAGAATTTGCGATCATTTTTCAGTTACGATATACATACCATATTTTCAAATGAAAAGTTATTTGTCCACCAACTTGTTGAAGGAGAACACTGATCTATGATGCGTGTCCCCTTTTAGTGTCGGTGTATCTATGTGTTAAGAAATACAGAGAAAAATGTTAAAAGAAATATAATCACGTAAACTATAAAAGATATCATAATAAAATAAAAACAAGTTAAATGCTAAATTACAATGTCATTTTTTCTTCTTTTATAATTGAAGCCGATGTTTAAAAAATAAAAAACGAAATAGACAATAAGGACAGCAAGCAAAAAGGTTGTCAATTATCCAAAGGTAAACAGGAGGCGAGTGAAGAAAGAATTAGAAATTCTTTTGAATGCGACCAAATGTTGCTCCATTTCACTCCTTTATTTATTTATTTACCTGTTCTTCGGAAGCTTTGCTATTTTCTGAAATCATTCAATGATGTAAATGCATGATTTAATGACAATGGTAAGAGTTATGGGTGTTAAACGGTTATGTTAATGTGTGGGGTCAAATAGGTATGTATCGACAGAAGGCCTGCCTTTTGATTTAGCAATTACTCCAAAGCAAAGCACGCATAATATTAAAAGAGTTTGACACGAAAGGTTTTCGGGAAGCTAAGGTAACGCCATTGCGCCGCAAGGAATTATTGAGAGTGAAACAGAATGAGAAAAACTTCATTGGCGGGAAAGGACAATAAAAGAAAAGCTTACAGGAAGACAGAAGTTGGCAATTGGCGTTGGATTTAAATTTTTGAAGATCATCGATGGAAGGGAAGCAATAAATCAGAAGACACTATTTACATTATTCGGACTATTGTCCTCATCTTTGTCGCCATATTTATTACAACGTTTCGGCCTTTCAGTATCTGTCTATATTTCTGAGATGAGGTATTATGTACATTATTTACATTATTCGGACTATTCTCCTCATCTTTGTCGCCATATTTATTACAACGTTTCGGCCTTTCAGTATCTGTATATTTCTGAGATGAGGTATTATGTACAATATTAAATAATATTGGAACTCTGTTTTATGGTCAGATGAAACCAAACTAGAATTATTTGGTCATATGAACTCCGGTTATGTATGGAGGAAAGTTAATGAAGTTCACAAACCAAAAAATACCTTCCCTACAATTAAGCACGATGGTAGGAGCATTTTGGTATAATTTTCTGCTTCTGGATCAGGAGAACTCGTGAGAGTACATGGTGTCATAGATAAAGATTAGTACATTGGGGAAGTCCAAAATTATTCGACACCTCCCTCATGTAAATTATGAAATAATATTACTCGATGGTAATTGTGATGTTTTTTTTGTTTTTTTTATCTTAATTTGATATTTAATACAAACACCCTTTGAAAATTAAATAGTATTGACCTGCTTCTATAACATTCTAAAAGGCAATGAAGAAGGCAATATATCAGTGTCACGTACTGCGATTACTCAGTCGTTCTGTAACCATGGTGAAGACGACTATACTTTACTGTACTTTTAGTGGAGGAAGCTCCGAATAAAGCTAGTTGATGCGTACAAAGAAGGTGATGATATACAACACTTTTACCAAACGTTTAAATGCTCCTAGATCGACATTTCATAGCATTATCAAGAATTATAACGAGTCTCATTGTGTTGAGAATGAATTAAAGACTGGCAGAAAACGGTTAATTTCTGAGAGAATGGAATGGATAATCGTTAGAGATGTCACGGAGAATCCTCACTTGACGACAAAGGAGATTGTCAGTGATGTAAAGGTTGAATTACTGACAGTCACTAGATGCTTTCATCCGGCAGAACTTTGATGTTGTCTCCCAAGGAAAATTTCCTCGCTTAAGGCTATACACCTAAAATGCAGATTAGCTTATGCTAGAAGCCATTTAGAACATGGGAGTAAATATTGGAACATTGTTTTATGGTCGGATGACACCAAACTAGAATTATTTGGTTACATGAATTCCCGTTATCTATGGAGGAAAATTGATGCAGTCCAAAATTATTCACACCCCCTCCTTATAGAAATTATTAAGTAATATTGCTCTATGACAAACATAATGTTTTTTTTCTTAATTTGACATATAATATCCTTTAAAAATGAAATAGTATTCACTTGATTCTATAATATTCTAAAAGGCAATGAAGAAGACAATGTGTGAGTGACATGTACTGCGATAACTCAGTCGTTCTGAAACCATGGTGAAGACGGCTAAACTTGAAATGAAGCCCAGAATGAAGATAGTTGATGCGTACAAAGAAGGTGATTCATATACAACACTTTCCCAGCGTTTAAATGTTCCTAGATTGACAATTCGTAGCATTATCAAGAAGCACAACGAGACTCATTGTACACTATTTACATTATTCGCACTATTGTCCTCATCTTTGTCGCCATATTTATTACAACGTTTTGGCCGTTGTACGCTCCGGCCTTCTTCAGGTGATTGGAATGTCGAAATGAACCCTCATCTCAAAAATATAGACAGAGACTCGTTGTGTTGAGAATAAATTAAGGACTGACAGAAAACGGTTAATTTCTGAGAGAATGGAAAGGAAAATTATTAGAGGTGTCTCGAAGAATTCTCACTTGACGACAATTGACATTGTCAGTGGTGTAAAGACATCAGGATTGAATGTATCGACGAAGACTATCAGTAGATGCTATCATCAAGCAGGACATCGAACTTGAACTACCTTGCTAAAGGCTAAACACCTAAAATGCAGATTAGCTGGAAAATGCAGATTAACATGGGAATAAATATTGTAATTCTGTTTTATGGTCAGATGAAACCAAACTAGAATTATTTGGTCACATGAACTCCCTTGATGCATGGAGGACACTGAATGAAGCGCACAAACCAAAAAAATATCCCCCGCAAAATTAACCACATTGTGCTCTGGGGATGTTTTGATGCTTCTGGACCAGAAGAACTATTGAGAATACAGGGTATTATGGACAAAGAGCAGTATTTGGCTATTGTTAACAAGAATATAAAACAAAGTTAACAGAACTTGTCTTTGGGGCGTCACTGGACGTTCCAAGATGACAATGACACGAAACACACGACACGGATTGTTACGAAATAATTAGATGACAGCAAAATTAAGGTATTGGCGTACCCTGTACAAATTCCTGACCTAAACCCCATTGAAAATTTATTGATACATCTGAAGAAAAAATAATAGAAAGAAGTCTTTCAGATCTGGAGGAACTAGAAGCTATTGCCAAGGCAGATTGGAACAAAATACCTATCAATGATAGTAGTGATCTTGTAAGGAACTATAAGAAATGATTAAAGGCAATAATCAAGAATAAACTGTTACACAGTTGATTATTGAGACAAGAAGGCCAATAATTTTGTCCAATGTTAAACGTTTTTTGATGTGTGTTTTTTGTATTATTGTTTGACGTTAAAATAACATTCCTTCAAATTCATTATTTTATCATTTGGGAAAAAATGTATATGTACAAAATCTGGCCTAAAAAACTGAAACTTTATGGGCCTATTTGAAGAGGAAAAAAAGTCCTTTGAATTTGAAGGAACTAGAAGCCATTTCCGAAGAAGAATGGAACAAATATCTATCAGTATGTTTATTGATATTGCAAGGAACGAACAAAAACGATTAAAGGCAGTAATCAAGAATAAAGCTTAGACAATTGATTATTGGGGCAAGAGGGCCAATAATTTTGTCTCATGTTATAAGTTTTTTTTTTTTATATTATTGATTGACATTAAAATTGTTTTTGGCATTACTGCACATTTTTTAAAATCCGTTATTCCATCATTTTAAAAAAAAATGCATTTGAAGTTTCTTTGAAAATCTGAGGTATTACAGCTTTATTTTAATTATAGAAGGGGTGAATAATTCTGTCGACATATATATATATATATATATATATATATATATATATATATATATCAACTGTTCCAACGGTCCTCGGTGACGAGGAGGTAGCGAATCAGACTCAATATAGCGCTGCTTGATCACATATTCTGTAGTGGAAACCAACCGAGTTTCCCTTACCCATAGGACTGTGCCGATCCCCACGAGCCACGACTACTATCCCAAAGCCGCTCCATCCAGAGCATTAATAGGCGGTTGAAGCAAGGATATACAAGTGATAGAAATTAGGAGGATTTGAGATAATTATAATTATTTCATCAAGTCTATATATATATATATATATATATATATATATATATATATATATATATATATATATATATATATTAGGTGCGTGGGATAAATTGTCGTCGAAATTATGCCAAAATGAAAATAACACTGACATCTCATTTTAACAGATATATTTACAAAAATATCTTGAAATACTAAAGAGTAAATTTATTCAATAAAATCGCCATTGGCTTCAACCACGGCCTCTGGACGACATCGGAATCTCTTGGATCTCTTCTGGAAGGTTTCCGTGTTTAAGTTGGTGAATGCTTCCTTTCTTTCTTTCTTTCTTTCTTTCTTTCTTTCTCATCTGTTCTGTTCATTATCTATCTATCTATCTATCTATCTATCTATCTATCTATCTATTTAGTTCCAACACTGCCCGCTAAATATCGAGCCGTATCTTGTCTCCTTATTATACAGTGTAACCCGGATATAAGAGAGTTGTCGGAACCGGAGAAGAAGTCTTATATCCGGGTTTCTCTTATATCCGGGTTTGGTCTATTATATATACATTAACACAGGCTCTAATTTGGCACCAGAGAAAATCGCTCTTATATCCGGGTTTCTCTTATATCTCGGGTTACACTGTATATACTATTTCAGAGATTATCCACGCATATTCGTTATTCCTAAGGGCATATTTGCCCTAATGGAATTTTATAGATCCTCAAAGAAACAGAAAATAGGTTTTTCTTTTTTAAAATTGTCCTTGCGAACAAGGCAGATAACCAATCGGAAAAGACGAAAAAGTCGAAACTATATAACAATAAGAACGATAATAACAAGTAATTCCATATTTAGAGGTGTAGGGGATGAGAGAGAAGTATCTTGGCTTTGGCATGAATCATATATATATATATATATATATATATATATACATGTATGTATTTAATCCATAATTTTTATTCATTCAAGCATGAATGAAAATAACTCCGACGTCTCTTTTTAAGAGAAATATTTACCAAAATTACACAAAAATATCTTGAAATACTAAAGTGTAAATTTATTCAATAAAATCGCCATTGTCTTCAACACCGGGTTATATATCTTGCTGTTCTTTCTATTAGGTTAGTGCAAAAATAATGTCGTAATAATGTCGTTTTTTTTCGACGTTAAAAATACGTCAAAAACGACATTATTACGTCATTATTTTTGCACCAACCTAATATATATATATATATATATATATATATATATATATATATATATATATATATATATATGTTAGGTGCGTGGGATAAATTGCCGTCAAAATAATGCAAAAATAAAAATAACACTGGCATCTCAATTTAACATATATTTACAAAAATATCTTAGAATACTAAAGAGAAAATTTATTAAATAAAATCGCCATTGGCTTCAACCACGGCTTCCAGACGACTTTGGAAATTCCTGCAACTCTTCGGGACGGTTTCATTGTTTAAGAGGATTAATGCTGCCATAATCCTTGTCTTCGGTTAATCTTTGGTGTTATAAAGAGTTCTGGTCGTCTCTTAGTTGCGCCCCACACATAATAATTAAGGGGGTTACAATCTGGTGAGTTAGGTGGACAGATTTAATGCGTGATGTGGTCGCGTCCATGACTGTGTTCTCCTGCACGTGTGGCATGGTGCAGAGTCCTATTGCCAGATATAGGGTCTTCCAGCAACTATCCCTTGACCAAGGAAAGTACCACCACTTTAAGGCACTTTATGAAGGCCTCCTTGTTGAGGACGAGGCCCTGTGTGAAGCTAAATGGAGGCATAACGTTGCGATCACTAGTGATCACTCCAAATACCTTCGTAATCACCATTAGACTCGGCCAACTCTTTCCGAATCGTTTTCAGAGTTTTCAGATTGACATTCATACACTGTGAAATGTTCGTATATGAGCTTCCATCATGAATGCCAAGCAGTACAGCATGCCGTTTCCAAATTTCTGGCGGAGTTAATTGCGTTATGGCGGCCTTTTTCTCAAAGACGGTGCCCAACTGACCCTACTATACTGTGCAGTTTACAAAATCAAAAACAATGCGCATGCGCGAAATTAAGAATATAAAATGGAGATAATTTACCCATCGCACCCTATAATCGAACAATTTTAAAATACCTTTTCCAATAGCAAAAGATATTCTATTTAATGTGGACTGAAGAATTCCACAGAACGTCCGAAACGTCATTATAACAAGATTCATGGGGCCGGATATAAATAATAGGTAATTATTGCCATGGTAATAATTAATTAAATAACGGGAGGCGGCTCGGATTGAGGAATCGGAGAGCCGAGTTCGAATTTCAGTCGAATCCATTACATTCACTTACGTGCTAATACCTTTGGGAAAGGTATGAATCCTCTTCTTCTTCTCCCACCCAGCAATGGATGAATAGCAGGACAGACTGGGCAGCTCGGATTGAGGAATCGGAGAGCCGAGTTCGAATTCCAGTCGAATCCATTACATTCACTTACGTGCTAATACCTTTGGGAAAGGTATGAATCCTCTTCTTCTTCTCCCACCCAACAATGGATGAATAGCAGGACAGACTGGGCAGCTCGGATTGAGGAATCGGAGAGCCGAGTTCAATTCAGTCGAATCCATTACATTCACTTACGTGCTAATACCTTTGGGAAGGTATGAATCCTCTCTTCTTCTCCCCCAACAATGGATGAATAGCAGGACAGACTGGGCAGCTCGGATTGAGGAATCGGAGAGCCGAGTTCGAATTCAGTCGAATCCATTACATTCACTTACGTGCTAATACCTTTGGGAAAGGTATGAATCCTCTTTTTATTCTCCCACCGAACAATGGATGAATCGCAGAACAGACTGGGCAGCTCGGATTGAGGAATCGGAGAGCCGAGTTCGAATTCCAGTCGAATCCATTACATTCACTTACGTGCTAATACCTTTGGGAAAGGTATGAATCCTCTTCTTCTTTTCCCTGCTATGAGTAAATAGCAGGACAGACTGGGTTCTACAGACTTGGATGGCAACTGGTCTACAGCAGAAAGAAATGGCAACGTACTGCGGGAAAAAGTCTGCCTCGTCAGTCATGTATCACGCATACCACATAACTGACTGAATTAAATAACTAATAAAATAAAGAAATTACATATGTAATTAAATAAGTACTTAAATAAGGAATTGAATATGTAATTAAATAAATAATTTTATAAGTAATTAAATATGTAATTAAATAACTAATTGTTGTAAATTGGGGAAGGTTACTGAATAGAATAATCAACGATGAACGGTAATACATAGGACAAGAAAAACAGCGCGTAGAAGGAGTGAAGTTAATTCCGTAATGACTCTTCAACTCTAAGGTATCTACCAAAAGCTTCACACGGTCAGATGTGGCACAAAGCCGAATTTAATGTAGGGTCGACTCGGCAAAAAATTGCCCGTAGACCCTGCTGTGATGTGACTCTGCCCTTCGACATAGCCTTGGCTGGGGATCCTCTCTTTGACCAGCACAGCTAGAGACGAATCTCCAGATCAACATACAGTATTTACTACTGTATTTATGTGAATGGGGACATCGGCCGTAGGTATGCTACAAAACAGTACTTTATCAGAAATTCGTATTAGTTTAAAATGTCTATAAATGGAATGATATATAAATGTTTATATGAACACAAAAGGGATCTCTTACAAAAGAACACATTAAATGCATTAAACGCTGATCGTAATGAGACTAACCATAATTTCGATAAAAAAAAGAACGACTTAAATTAAAATTGAAAGCAAAATACTAAACTGAAAGTGAATAGAAAATGATTCAATTTGCTTTAATTTTCCATCCGGGTTCTGACAACATATATGTCTCTTGGAAGATATTCTATTTTCCCAAACTTAACAAATGAAACGATAAAAACATAAACAAAAAGAAAGTAAATGAAAATGGCTAGACTATATAAAAAAGTTCATGAACAGACTGAGATAGATAGATAGATAGATAGATAATGGACAGTTTGAAATAGATAGATAGATAGATCTATCTATCTATCTATCTATCTATCTATCTATCTATCTATCTCAGTCTGTTCATTATCTATCTACCTATATATCTATCTATTTATCACAGTCTGTTCTTTCTATCTATCTATCTCATTCTATTCTTTATCGATCTTTGTTCATATATATCAATCCATCTTTCGACCTATCAAATACACGAACAAAGCAAAACATTTTTTTTATGTACTTACCCATTTAAATATTTACCTTAATTGTGTGTAATTATCTTCCGGTGGAGAAAAGTCAGTCAGAGGTGACGATAATAAAATTTTGATAATAATAACAATCATTTGAATGTTGTTTTATAAATCTTAATAAATTTAATTTTGAGAAAAAGTCAAATAAATCAGGCATACAGCCATATCCCGTTGAAACACCGGCTCCCCAACCATGAAGTTAAGCAACGTAGAACCTGGTCAGTACCTAGATGGGTGTGCGCTTCAGAATACCAAGTGTTGTAAACTTTGATATGAGGTGGGTGTAATGGATATTGGCTCAGAATTATTAATAGGAGGATCGTGTCCCAGTTCCCTTTGCGTTCGTTACGTGCCAATACCCATAAAAAAGATATAAATCCACCTCTACTCCCTTCCCAGCTAATATGTTAACCCTTTTCACCGGTCGTAGAGAAAAATGATGTAATGCCCAGCCACAGGTTGAATGTTTGAAATCAATGGAATGATATATAAATGTTTATATGAACACAAAAGGGATCTCTTACAAAAGAACACATTAAATGCATTAAACGCTGATCGTAATGAGACTAACCATAATTTCGATAAAAAAAAGAACGACTTAAATTAAAATAGAAAGCAAAATACTAAACTGAAAGTGAATAGAAAATGATTCAATTTGCTTTAATTTTCCATCCGGGTTCTGACAATATATATGTTTCTTGGAAGATATTCTATTTTCCCAAACTTAACAAATGAAACGATAAAAACATAAACAAAAAGAAAGTAAATGAAAATGGCTAGACTATATAAAAAAGTTCATGAACAGACTGAGATAGATAGATAGATAGATAGATAGATAGATAGATAGATAGATAGATAATGGACAGTTTGAAATAGATAGATAGATAGATAGATCTATCTATCTATCTATCTATCTATCTATCTATCTATCTATCTATCTATCTCAGTCTGTTCATTATCTATCTACCTATATATCTATCTATTTATCACAGTCTGTTCTTTCTATCTATCTATCTATCTCATTCTATTCTTTATCGATCTTTGTTCATATATATCAATCCATCTTTCGACCTATCAAATACACGAACAAAGCAAAACATTTTTTTATGTACTTACCCATTTAAATATTTACCTTAATTGTGTGTAATTATCTTCCGGTGGAGAAAAGTCAGTCAGAGGCGACGATAATAAAATTTTGATAATAATAACAATCATTTGAATGTTGTTTTTATAAATCTTAATAAATTTAATTTTGAGAAAAAAGTCAAATAAATCCAGGCATACAGCCATATCCCGTTGAAACACCGGCTCCCCAACCATGAAGTTAAGCAACGTAGAACCTGGTCAGTACCTAGATGGGTGTGCGCTTCAGAATACCAAGTGTTGTAAACTTTGATATGAGGTGGGTGTAATGGATATTGGCTCAGAATTATTAATAGGAGGATCGTGTCCCAGTTCCCTTTGCGTTCGTTACGTGCCAATACCCATAAAAAGGATATAAATCCACCTCTACTCCCTTCCCAGCTAATATGTTAACCCTTTTCACCGGTCGTAGAGAAAAATGATGTAATGCCCAGCCACAGGTTGAATGTTTGAAATCAATGGAATGATATATAAATGTTTATATGAACACAAAAGGGATCTCTTACAAAAGAACACATTAAATGCATTAAACGCTGATCGTAATGAGACTAACCATAATTTCGATAAAAAAAGAACGACTTGAATTAAAATAGAAAGCAAATTACTAAACCGAAAGTAAATAGAAAATGATTCAATTTGCTTAATTTTTCATCCGAGTTCTGACGATGGGTAAACATTCGTAACTATTTTTATATCTACCGAGAAATATTACGTACCAATTATTTGTGAATTTTGACTCAGGCAGAAGGACTAAAATTGTCCGGGAATGCAAGACAGTAAGACGTGTATTCAGTCAGTTGTGTGTCATGCGTGATACACACTTAGGCGATCATGTATCTTTCGATGACGAGGTAGATTTTTTTTCCCCGCAGTTGGTTACCATTTCTTTCTGCGGTAGACCAGTTGCCATCCATGTCTATACAACCCGGCCAGTCCTGCTCTGGAGAAGAAGAGGTTTCATACCTTTCCCAAGAGTATTAGAGCATAAGTAAATGTAATGGATTCGACTGGAATTCGAACTCGGCTCTCCGATTTCTCAACACGAACTGCTATCCATTACTCCACCATGCCTCCTTCCTTGTATTACGAAACCATTATCACAAAAAAAATCTTAAATTCTAAAAGTATTAGGTTGGTGCAAAAATAATGACGTAATAATGTCGTTTTTTGACGTTAAAAAATACGTCAAAAAACATTATTACGGCATTATTTTTGCACCAACCTAATATTATCTGGCTATGAATAACCTGCAAAGAGATTGATATAAGCCATAGAAAATGAATAAACCAAAAAAATATTTAAAGGTGTGTAATTATCTTCTGATAGAGAAAAGTCAGTCTGAGGCGACAATAACTAAATTTTGATAATAGCAAGAATTATTTGGATTTTTTTTTAATTTTACAGTAAGTTGAGAAAATATCGAATAAATGCTTCAAAATATCAAATATTTAATAAATTAAAAAGCAAATTAATATTTTTTTAAAATAGACAATTAATATACATGTAGGCAAAGGAATGAGGAAGTGATATATCCGTGATTATTGGAGAGGGCTTTAAAAAGCGCAGTTTAAAAAGTCCCTCAAAATATACCCAGCTATTTTTACACCCATTGTTGAGTATAGCGGTATGGAGAAAACAATTTGTTTCATATAAGAGTCTTAATATAAAGAAAATACATATGATTATAAAAGACGGTATATATATATATATATATATATATATGGGGGGAAATGTAAGGCAAAGGAGCAAAACGTTTCTTCATGCGCGTTTCGTCCAATGAATTCTTAAAGGACGAAATGGTCACAAGGAAACATTTCCAAAATTTGTCATATATTTTTGAGTATACATATATATAGTTTGTCTGACGAACGCAACAGAGTGAAACCCAGGATCACAAACTCACATCTATCCAACCAAATATGTTAGCTCTATCTCTGATATTGAGCGCTTTCTAATAAGTACCATGAATATAATATAAATAAATAATATATATATATATATATATATATATATATATATATATATATATATATATATATATATATATATATATATATTATATACACACACTTTTCATATATAGATATATATACATAAGATAAACAACCATACATATATATATATGTGTGTGTGTGTGTGATTGTTTATTTTATATGTATATACATGAAATAAACAACCAAATAAATACATATATATAAAATAAGCAACCATATATATATATATATATATTTATATATATATATATATATATATGTATGTATATATATAATATATATATATATATATGTATATGTATGTATGTATGTATATTATAAATTTTATAAGAGGAATTCGGTACATTATATATATATTATTAAATATATATATTATAATTATATTATATTATAATTATATATAAATGTATGTATATATATTATCCAATACATATATATATATATATATATATATATATATATATATATATATATTATCCGATAGATAGATATTATCCAATAATTATACATATATATATATCTTATCAAAATGTATATATATAGATATATATATATATGTATTATCCCAAATATATATACATATATAGACATATAGATAATATCCAATAATTATATATATATGTATATATATTATCCATATATATATATATAGATAAATAGATATAGATATATATACATATCTATTATATATATATATATATATATATATATATATATATTTATATATATATATATATATATATATATATATATATATATATATATATATATATAACACACACTCACACAAACATATATATATATATATATATATATATATATATATATATATATATATATATAATTTTGCTTAATCACTGACACTACATGGCGGAGTCAATCTAGAACATGTCGGATGTAACGATGGTCACCTTGCAAATGTTTGTATCCTGTCGGAGAGCGTATATTTTTCTTTAATAGGATTTCTCGAATATTCGGACAGGAAGACGAAAATTAATTAAATAAACTGATTAAGAAATAAACGGAACCTCTACTCAAATTTGAGTCCACACTAAAATGACGTTTTGAAAGTAATAAAATTCCTCAGATTACAAGTAAAAAATCCGTTAGTTTTTTTACACACGCAGAAACACACACACACAAACACAGAGAGAGATAGATAGATAGATAGATAGATAGATAGATAGATAGATAGATAGATGAATGAATAATGATGAACAGACTGAGATAGATAGATAGATAGATAGATAGATAGATAATGAACAGACTGAGATAGATAGATAGATAGATAGATAGATAGATAGATAGATAGATAGATAGATAGATAGATAGATAAACATGAACAGAATGAGATAGATAGATAGATAGATAGATAGATAGATAGATAGATAGATAGATAGATAGATAGATATGAAGAGACTGAGAAAGACCGAGAGAAGATTGAGAGAGAATTGATATGTGGTTGTGAATTATTCCTGGAAGTCTGAAATTATCTGAAATAATGACATCATTATTGCATTGCAGCCATTTCTTCTTCTTTTCTTTTGCGACTACTTAATGCAATATTTAGTTATTTATCTATTTTTGAGATTGAATCTTTTCCATTCCTTTCATTTTTAGAAATGCTTTTCTCTGTGACAATATCAAATTTATGAAACTCTATCTAAACATCTATTATTAATAGAAGTATGATACTAAAAAAGCAGAAATGGAATGCAATTATCTATCTATCTATCTATCTATCTATCTCTCTCTCACACACTCTCTCTCTATATATATATATGTGTATGCGTGTGTGTATGTGTGTGTGTGAGTGTGTTTAACCAAATAAGAGAAAGAACAGATGGTGTAAAAATTATTTACTTTTATAAAGGTGCTCAATACAAAGTAGTGAAAAATATTATAATATTTTTATTATAATAGATTACAATAAAAGCATTTTAAAACATTACACAGCACACACACATACTTATATATATATATATATATATATATATATATATATATATATATATATATATATATATATATATAAAACATTATTTTAGTGGATATCCGCATTTAAAATATACGCGTCATTTTTATATTTAATAGAGTGTATTGCATCTATCGGCCTATATATATATATATATATATATATATATATATATATATATATATATATATATGTATGTATGCATGTATGCATGTATGTATGGAGTGAAAATTAATGTCAAAAAGAGAGGAGAAATTATTTGTAATATATATTTGAAAACCAGTAAAATGACTTTTTGTTTAATAATAATAATAATAATAATGTGGAGATAGATAGATAGATAGATAGATAGATAGATAGATAGATAGATAGATAGATAATGAACAGACTGAGATAGATAGATAGATAGATAGATAGATAGATAGATAGATAGATAGATAGATAATGATCAGACTGAGATAGATAGATAGATAGATAGATAGATAGATAGATAGATAGATAGATAGATAGATAATGAACAGACTGAGATAGATAGATAGATAGATAGATAGATAGATAGATAGATAGATACTCTATGAGAAGATAGAAAACCGTGATGGCTAGCCCATTATAGAGAGAGAGTTGGAGGGACAATCAAAAAATTCACTCTTTGCACCGTGATGAATTGTTTTTTTAGCAGCAGCTTCAAGAATTCCTTTCATGGTGACGCCCAGTTTTACTGACAGAAAACACATGTATATCTCAGGAGAAGGCTTTTCTTGTCTAATATCGCTAACAACAGATTTCGACAGATATATTTATTTCTGTTGTATTCTTAACCTATATTTACTCACACTCCATTTGCCTTAAATATTATATATTCACTCTGATTATTATGTTATAAAATATTTTCATAATCATAAATAAATATTTGAATAATGTTTACAAAGAAACGTCTTTTTTATCTGCATTTCAGTAAGGTTTGGTTTTAAAAATGTTCAATTAAATTCAATTTTCTTGTTCGGAATATCCT